CTCCCCAATAGATTGTCACAAAGTAAGATCTAGTGCCACCTACATCTATCTAGTGGCTGGTTTTTTTTCGACATTGTCATCTCACAGCGACCGTTTTTGCAACCCCTATCGAATCACGCAGCCTTCCACTAGCTCTAAGCTCATCAAGTTAGTCCTAACAGTGTATGTAGGCGAAAGAGGAACATCCGAAATGCACTCATGATGGATGGCGTAAATATGCGTGCGTTACAACATGAGGTACCAGAAAATATAATGAACAGATCTTTTCAGATGATGTTAATTTCAAAAAATCCTCCATACAACAACGGTTGCCACGTTACCACCGATACGACGCTTCGCTAGAGTAAAATCTTACTCCTTATAACATCAACTATTTGCTAGTGTGTATAAATATTGACAAATATTGACATTAATATTTATACGATACTAAAACGTCACTCAATTGTTTTGCCTTCCCGGAATCCCTTCACTAACACTTAAACTTTATGGTATGGTATTAAAGTTCAAATTGACTTTTAAGTATTATTACGAATCTTTTGTATGAGAATATAGAAAGTGTTGTTTTTAGACTTTTTCAGGAATTTTTTAAATTTTTCTCTCCGTAAGAACCATCTTCGTACTTCAAGGAATATTATAAAAAAAGAATTAGCGAAATCGGTTCAGCTGTATATATATATCATTGGAGGGGTTCCGGGAAGGGAAAACAATTGAGTGACGTTAGTGTCGTATAAATATTAATGTCATTGTTTGTCAATATTTATAAGATGGTAACATAACTCAAAAACAAAATTAGGGTTCCGCGCAAAAAAATTGATATCCATGAAATCGTAGTAAATTCCACGCGGGCGAAGTCGCGGGGCACAGCTAGTATAATATAAAAATGGATCGCTGAAATGTGTTGCTAAGCGCAAATCTTAAGAACAGCTGAACCGATTTCGCTAATTCTTCTTTTATAATATTCCTTGAAGTACGAAGATGGTTCTTACATAAAGAAAAATTTAAAAAATTGCCTGAAAAAGTCTAAAAACAAAACTTTTCTATATTCTCATACAAAAGATTCGTAATAATACTTAAGAGTCAATTTGAACTTTAATACCATACCATAAAGTTTTAAGTGTTAGTGAAGGGATTCCGGGAAGGCAAAACAATTGAGTGACGTTTTAGTATCGTATAAATATTATTGTCAATATTTATACACACTAGCATATAGTTGATGTTATAAGGAGTAACTTGGGCTGCTTTTATTTTAGGGTTCCGCGAGAAATAACTCTACGCAGGTGAAGTCGCGGGGAACAGCTAGTATATATATACTAGCTGCTAGTGCGGGGAACAGCTTATAAGTTGTTGTTATAAACCCATTGGTTCTTTCACTGAGTCAAGGATCTGTTGTGTTTGCAAGCTAATTCTGTCCTGAGCGTTAATCCTACACAAACTAGCCCTTGCTTCCTTGTCTACACATAGCTCAAGGGGCGTTAAACATATTACACAACTGAATTAACAGAAGTTCCAGGTCTCCATAGGTTTACCTCTGCGGTGCGGTTGTAATGTAAGGGCATAATAGCTAAAGCTTCGTTCCATTATTTATTATCTACATCTACATCTACACTAATATTATAAAGAGGAAAGATTTGTTTGTTTGTTTGAATTGAATAGGCTCCGAAAGTACTGGACCGATTTGAAAAATTCTTTCACCATTAGAATCCTACATTATCCCTGATGAACATAAGCTATATAATATTTTCAAAAAAGTTAGGGATCCGTAGGAAAACTTCGTTAATGTAACCCAAGGTGTAAAAAAAATACCAAAAAGAATCCTTATATCGCGTATTAGAGCAAAGTATGTACTTCAGTTTTATAGAGGATATCAATATCTACAAAAAAACCTGCGATACTATTTGTTTAACCTTTACAGTTATGTCACAATAACTACTTTTTCATGTTAAAATATGAAATAGTAACGCCGGTACAAACTAGGCCACATTATTCGTATCAGTACCTGTACCATGCTAACCACCATTTATGTTAACCATGTAATTTTAGTAACATTTTCACTTTTTAAATCTATGTTAATTCAGCAACCGTCCGTCGTGATGTCTCTCTCGAAGTTAGCATGTCGCAAGGCGTAGACGCGTGATATACGCGGGTGATACCGCGGGTCACAGCTAGTATTATATAACTTTCTTCGATGTCAGATTAAGCTTATCAGTAGTCTAAAGGATTTGGGTAAAGCAATCCTTTATGTATTCTCAAGCATAAGTTGTTGTGAAGATTTTCACCTAATATAGAAAAAGGATTATTACCTCACTGTAATTGAATGGGGAGTATCTCATTTAGACAGATTGTTTCAAACGGTTTAAAGGAGACAAAGAGATTTAAATATATAGGTATACTATAGAGCGGACATTATAAACATTTGCATACAAAAAGTTGAGCTCGAACGTGTGTAACGCTCTCTAGCTAAACATAGCAAAACTACGCTGAATATTTATTAGGAAAACATTTCAGCTATTCCCCAGTAGGTGACGATAACAAATGTAAGGTAAAAACCCGTTTTAGGAATGTTACCGTTTCGACATCAAAGTATCGATAATGTTGTTGAAGGTTACTTAGTTTGTAATGTTTTACGATGTAGTAATAGGAACTATGCATGCTTTTTTATTGTACAAATCTATTTATTATGACTCCTATCACACCAAAAAAATCATATAAACTTTTTAAGTCATGAATGAAATGAAACGTTATGAAATAAAAAATTTAACTTCAAATAATTAAGAATTAATTAAAACAGCAGTCACATTGGTGGCATCTTGGATGACGTCACTAGGTCCTAGTAATTCTTAATTAACCTAATTATTGCTTAGTTATTTTATAATTGTTTATAAAATAACTAAGACAAGATTAGACGCTATAATAATAGCAAATGATTGGTCTGTCGGCCTCGAAGGCATATCGCCATAGACTAATACTGGATATAATAATATAATACTGGAGACATATCGCAAAATGACAAATCTAATAAGAGAGCGCCTCCATGTTTTCCAAATTCGTTTCTTTTACAAAAATACACTTTAAATTTAACGTATTTTAGGAAAGCACTGAATTTAAGTCGTTACACGATAAATTATTTCTCAAGTTTGCGCGTTTACGGCTAAAAAGAACACCTTTGTCGTATCTCCTCAATCTCAGAGCACTTCCTTTGTTGCCTCATCCAAAAGCAAAATCTTCGGCGTCGACATATCGAATGACCTGCAGTAGCATGTTCACTTGGAAGAGAAAGCTAAATTGGCTTTTAAAAAGCTTGGCATTTCATGTTTGCACACCGTATGCCACTTTACAAGCGCAGGTTCGGCCTCACGTGGAATATTGTTCTCATCTCTGTGCCGAGGCTCCCCAGGGCGAGCTCCTTCCACTTGACCGCATAGAGAAAGAGCGGCTCGACGGCGACGACCGAGTTGTCTTTGATTATTTCGATTCACTGGCGCTACGTAGAGATGTTGCATCCCTTTGCATTTTCTATCGTATTTACCACGGGGAGTGCTCTGATTAATTCCAGCCACCAAAATTCACCAATACACATCGTGACAAAACTTATGTTACCATCCACATTATTTGGATGCTTTGCGGTCTACGGATGCGGGCGCTTATTGCAATGATGATAAATATTCTAGAACAATCTACCAGAAATAAAATTTAAAAATTATGGGGTAAATATACATTATACTTGTATCAGTTTTTTCTACATATCGGGACTACAATACCTTAATGCACTATCGGGCGTAGCTTTTTTAAAAATATTTTATTTTTTAATTTAGGAAAGGAATGCGTTTCGAGCTTTTGATGATGTCACTAAGACTAAATGACACAAAATCGAAATATATCCTGTAGTACATAAGTAAGAGGTGACTCTCCGCTAGGAGTAAAAGTATTCTGTAGAGGTGACTATTTTGTTGCTGATGTTCGGTCTATTATTACTACTACTGACTTTGAAAAAAGACAACAGACCATTGTACCATATTTGGCCTTAGTATTTCTTTAATTGAGTTAGAAGTAAAATTACACAGTAAATTAAGAAACTACACGTGTCACACACGGAGGAAACAAATTTCATAAACGGCTCATTCATTGGAAAAACGCTGGCTTATTATGTTCTGCCTTTGTAATTACAATTGTGATAGTGTAATACAAGATGTGAGCACGGACGAAAAATCAGCAGGTGTAAGGAAATAAATAAAAATGTTATAAAGATCATGTTGCTTATATTTAATGAAAAATCTTTTACAAAATTGAGATATTCCTAATTTTGATTGAATAGAAATAATAATTTCATTATTAAGAAAATATTCGTAAATGCATTACTTACATACATAAAAATATTAATAAATTTCAAATAAACTTGAAAATAAAAAATTTATCAGATTTAAAACAATAATTGTCAAAAATCACATGCTAATACTAGATGTATTATTAATACAGACTAAAATTACAATATTAACCTATACAATGCACCTCATTTTTAACAAATTTTGCGGTGGAATGTTTTTGGAAAGACGATACAAAACCAAGTTTAATTAATCAGTGCGTAAAATTTTAAAGGCCGTTTAGTGCTTGAAGATTCAGAATGAACAAGACAATTTCCTATAAATAAACAGCAATATTTCTGTTGTTCTTTAGCAATTGTTTTGAGGACCAATAAAAGTAAACCTGACAAACTGATTTTTTTGTATTAATACTTTTCTGAAATAAAGAAGCCGCCTTTAGCCTTTTTATTGTTATATTTGTTTAATGAACTCGTGTATATTTTATGACACAATACTGCCAATGGCATATTTATTAATCCATAGAATGGTGTAAAAATACATCAGGTTTGTTGCAGAATTTTAAAAAAAATCTATTCGAATTAAGTTAGCTAGGTCAGCAATAATTTTCAGAATAAAAAAATGAAAATATATGTACACTAAAAATATTTTTTGTTTACATGTCATACATAGAGCGTATAGGTACTATTCGAAATTCGAGTTGAACATATTGATGTTGAGGTCTTCAAAGGTGGCTTGTGCGCCTTGGTCGAGGATCTGCAGCATGTCCGAGAGCTCGTGCGGGGCGTGCGCGGCCTCGCCGGCGCCCGCCACGCCCGCCACCGCCACGCCCGCGCCGCCCTGCCACGACCACATGCCTGCAACCACACCATCACCCTCTACAAACAAATGCAAATGCAAATACATTACAAAATAATATTTTTATTCTTTTTGTTCAGACAATGATACATGACAAAGAGCACACACTAAACGTCAAAAATTTGGTACCATTTCTGTCGATTAAAATTCGCAAAAAAATGTCTGCTTTGTGTTAATATAATTTTACATGGGTGATCTAAATTTTAATTAATTTTAACTGTGTTTAAAGAATATTCACTATCTTATATCATTCCGTGGGTGTCGTGAGAGACGACAGAAAGAAAATGAAACAGGAAATAGGCAGCAGCATCTCCCTGATTACAACTCAAAATTATATAAAATCCCAAGCCTATCTCACTCCGCGCTTCGGGCATGAAAATATACCTACGCTGCGCGGCCGCCTACATGAGGTTAATTCCGAGAGGTTGTCACGCGTCCGCTCGAGCTGACGCGCCCCTTACGTTAACATAAAAATTATTTTTCTCTAATAAGTATTTAGGCACTTTTGATATTTACTTTATTAAAGTATGGCCTCTGAAAAAGCCAAAAGGTACTGCATAGTATACGGGTGCTTAAATAACAATAGGAATGTCGAATTTTCTAGGATACCGAAAAGTAATATATTATTATTTATAGGTAGAACTAGATAATTAGGTACTTAGTTACTGACGCCATAATTACAGATTTATTATCTGATTAGTGACCCGACCTTCCCCACATTGAACAATAAAGTTTTTATTATCAGCAAATTAATGAATCCGTGGTGCAATAGCTTAGCAATGAGTTGCAACGCTGGGGCCGCGAGTTCGAATCCCGCACGGAATAAATATTTGTATGGCCTACAAATAATTGTTCTGGGTTTAGATATTTGTCATTGTGCAATTTATATTTGTTAATTGCCTCCATCATACAGGAGAAAATCCTAGTGCGGGGGTAACGGTTTTTTAACAAAAAAAAAAAGAAATATCAATACATTGCATAACACCTCGGTGTATTCTACTAAATACCAACTAATATCAAATGATTCAATTTGTTTTCTCACAACACCTAACCCTACAGTAGGGGCGGCCTTAACAAAGGCGCGTAATGGGCTAAATGATATAGACACTTGCACGCGGATGTAAGATGCATTTTGAACTAATAAGCACGCCACAAAATTTTTTGTCGATGAAATAAACGGTAGGCTAATTTCACGAAGGTCACTTTCGAGGCGTGCAAAGTATTATGAACATTTGGTACGTTGTAACTAAGTTTAAACTAGCAAGTTTGCTATCAGAGAGTTATGGCGTCACTTAAATGTAATTAATACAATACATTTATACAGGGCCATTTTTCAAAGAGTAATCAAATTTAAGTTCAAATATATAAATAATGATATACCGTTATTGCAGTTTTTGAAAATACGAGTAAATAAGCCTTCTAACCTTATTTGAAATTATCCTAAATTGAATGTGATTTATGGGCAACAACATTTTAGCCTGCCGATCGATCCTTACGAATGTGTTCGTGTGCAGTAAAATCAGTCAAAATAATGAATTGCCACGCATTCTGAATTTGAAAGATAAAAAGGACAGAATTATTGAGATTTTTTAATTAATTTTTCTTCACCATTTGTCTATATCACTCGTTCTGAACCTTCTCTGCAAATTTGGCCAGTTATTGCAAAATAACCCTGTTTATATTGTTTTAATATAGCTTGTGTAAAACAAATAGAGCTTACCGTGCGAGGGGTGCGAGGGGTGCGTGGGGTGCGTAGGGTGCGTGGGGTGCGCGGGGTGCGCGTGGTGGTTGTGGTGGTGGTAGTGCGCGGCGGGCGGCAGGTAGGCGGGCGCGGGCGCGGGCGGCGAGCGCGCCGGGCTGGCGCCGCTGCTCGCGCCCGCGCCGCCCCCCGCGCCGCCGCCCGCCCCGCTCGCGCCGCCGCCCGCCTCGCTGTACGCGTAGCTCTCCCCGCTCGCGCCACCGCTCTGGTATACAACATTACTTGTATTAATTCCAACTTAAAGCATATTAATAACTAGCGAGCCGCCCTGGCTTCGCCTGGATTGGATCTATTAATGTGGCGTTATTTAGATTTGAGATAATCATCAAAGAACATTTATTTCAACGACCAAGATCAATCTTGGCATTGCTTTGCTTGTCAAGTTTAAACACAATCGGTTCAGCTATTCCAAGATTGGTCCAGACAGACAAACAGACAGAGACGGGCTACTCATCAGTATGGTTGAACAGATTGTAATGAATTGAAAATATTTTATCCGAGAAACTTATTAATTGTGAATTAAAAAATTGATAATATATATGGTATTTGATGATGACACAATAATAAATTCCAACCAGACGAAACCGGGACGAGTCGTCACTTAGTAATAAATTTTTTATATCCAAGACACAATAATCGATGTGTCACGTTCGTCAAAAATTTCGTTCTATTTTATTATAATATGAGTCTATAATGATCAAAATAATTTTTAAACTGAAGACGTAATTTACAATGTGCAGCAAATACGCTGTGTGAATTATTGAGAAACTAGCTCTAAAAACGTTTTTTTCTTTACCAGTCAGATAAAACCTAGTGCTCTTTGCCAAGTTTCTTTATTGCCAAAGATTCCGCCTGGGATGGACAACCTGCCTATTTCAGTCGCCAATCAACACTATATCCCATTTATTTTCCAATTAGCAGGATACTGGACTATTATTATTATAACAGGATGTGAGTCATTCTATTAGAAACCTCAGATGTGATAACACATCTGTAGTCTTGTTTGTTTAAAGTTGATGGCAAACATCTAAGGGCTACAACAACTACTTAACCACCAGGTGAACTTAGCTTGTAATGCCTCGTTTCCAATGAAAAAGGTCTCCGGGTCTCTACACTCACCATACAAACACGGCAGCTTTTTGAGCTGCTATTTTACGTTGGTATTCTGTGAGGGCGTGATCCTTTCCCGGTCGAGCCGACCCAATCGTGCTACAACCATAATTTAGCTTCAGCACGGTTCTAACACATAAAAAATTGAAGTAAGTATCAAACAAATGAGTAGAGATGTTATTTGTACGGTTGTGTGCAGGGGGCAAGGTGTAAGGTAGTGCATATGAGCCTCGTATTAGTATAGGCAGTGCGGTGTGTGCAGGGACAAGGTATAAGGCAGGGCATGAGCCTCGTATTAGTATAAGCAGTGTGGTGTGTGCAGGGGGCAAGGTGCATGAGCCTCGTATTAGTATAGGCAGTGTGCTGTGTGCAGGGGTAAGGTGTAAGGTAGGGCATGAGCCTCGTATTAGTATAGGCAGTGTGGTGTGTGCAGGGGGCAAGGTGCATGAGCCTCGTATTAGTATAGGCAGTGTGCTGTGTGCAGGGGTAAGGTGTAAGGTAGGGCATGAGCCTCGTATTAGTATAGGCAGTGTGGTGTGTGCAGGGGGCAAGGTGCATGAGCCTCGTATTAGTATAGGCAGTGTGCTGTGTGCAGGGGTAAGGTGTAAGGTAGGGCATGAGCCTCGTATTAGTATAGGCAGTGTGGTGTGTGCAGGGGGCAAGGTGCATGAGCCTCGTATTAGTATAGGCAGTGTGCTGTGTGCAGGGGTAAGGTGTAAGGTAGGGCATGAGCCTCGTATTAGTATAGGCAGTGTGGTGTGTGCAGGGGGCAAGGTGCATGAGCCTCGTATTAGTATAGGCAGTGTGGTGTGTGCAGGGGCAAGGTGTAAGGTAGGGCATGAGCCTCGTATTAGTATAGGCAGTGTGCTGTGTGCAGGGGCAAGGTGTAAGGTAGGGCATGAGCCTTGTATTAGTATAGGCAGTGTGGTGTGTGCAGGGGGCAAGGTGCATGAGCCTCGTATTAGTATAGGCAGTGTGGTGTGTGCAGGGGCAAGGTGTAAGGTAGGGCATGAGCCTCGTATTAGTATAGACAGTGTGCTGTGTGCAGGGGCAAGGTGTAAGGTAGGGCATGAGCCTCGTATTAGTATAGGCAGTGTGGTGTGTGCAGGGGGCAAGGTGCATGAGCCTCGTATTAGTATAGGCAGTGTGGTGTGTGCAGGGGCAAGGTGTAAGGTAGGGCATGAGCCTCGTATTAGTATAGGCAGTGTGCTGTGTGCAGGGGCAAGGTGTAAGGTAGGGCATGAGCCTTGTATTAGTATAGGCAGTGTGGTGTGTGGTGTGTGCAGGGGCAAGGTGTAAGGTAGGGCATGAGCCTCGTATTAGTATAGGCTGTGTGGTGTGTGCAGGGGCAAGGTGTAAGGTAGGGCATGAGCCTTGTATTAGTATAGGCAGTGTGGTGTGTGGTGTGTGCAGGGGCAAGGTGTAAGGTAGGGCATGAGCCTCGTATTAGTATAGGCAGTGTGGTGTGTGCTGGGGCAAGGTGTAAGGTAGGGCATGAGCCTCGTATTAGTATAGGCAGTGTGCTGTGTGTAGGGGGCAAGGTGCATGAGACTAGTATTAGTATAGGCAGTGTGCTGTGTGCAGGGGTAAGGTGTAAGGTAGGGCATGAGCCTTGTATTAGTATAGGCAGTGTGGTGTGTGGTGTGTGCAGGGGCAAGGTGTAAGGTAGGGCATGAGCCTCGTATTAGTATAGGCAGTGTGGTGTGTGCAGGGGCAAGGTGTAAGGTAGGGCATGAGCCTTGTATTAGTATAGGCAGTGTGGTGTGTGGTGTGTGCAGGGGCAAGGTGTAAGGTAGGGCATGAGCCTCGTATTAGTATAGGCAGTGTGGTGTGTGCTGGGGCAAGGTGTAAGGTAGGGCATGAGCCTCGTATTAGTATAGGCAGTGTGGTGTGTGCTGGGGCAAGGTGTAAGGTAGGGCATGAGCCTCGTATTAGTATAGGCAGTGTGCTGTGTGTAGGGGCAAGGTGTAAGGTAGGGCATGAGCCTTGTATTAGTATAGGCAGTGTGGTGTGTGGTGTGTGCAGGGGCAAGGTGTAAGGTAGGGCATGAGCCTCGTATTAGTATAGGCAGTGTGGTGTGTGCTGGGGCAAGGTGTAAGGTAGGGCATGAGCCTCGTATTAGTATAGGCAGTGTGGTGTGTGCTGGGGCAAGGTGTAAGGTAGGGCATGAGCCTCGTATTAGTATAGGCAGTGTGCTGTGTGTAGGGGGCAAGGTGCATGAGACTAGTATTAGTATAGGCAGTGTGGTGTGTGCAGGGGGCAAGATGCATGAGCCTCGTATTAGTATAGGCAGTGTGCTGTGTGCAGGGGCAAGGTGTAAGGTAGGGCATGAGCCTTGTACTAGTATAGACAGTGTGGTGTGTGGTGTGTGCAGCGGACAAGGCAAGGTAGTTACGGGTCGCAGCGTGGTCCAGGTGGTGTGCGGCGGCGTGTTGGCGGGGCGGTGCGGCGAGTAGTCGGGCGCGTAGTGCGCGTAGGCCGCAGCGGCCGGCCCCACGCCCACGCCCACGCCGCCCACCTCGCCCGGCGACCGCGCGCCCACTCCGCCCGCTGCACACCGCACCCGCAACCACATTACATTATGATACTTACATCTCTAATATTATATAAATATACATAAGGAATTTCTGTAAATACCACGAACAGACACAAGCTAGTTGTTCACGCCCTGAGTTGCCCCGACAAAAGTCGACTGGGCTAGGGCCCATAGTAGCCTCCTCGACGGGCAACAGAGGACGGGGCCCAAATGGCCTATGGACAATTATTCTACACAATAGATATAAGACTAGGTAATTAATACGAACTTACCGGGTTCCGAATCGAGAACCGACCCCAAGGCACGGTCAGGCGTTAAGTATGTGCTTGTAAGTAGTGTGTAGTAGTGTGTATATGTGTGATCTGACGGCCCGATTTAATCGGACAGAAGATCCACAGGAGCTGCGGTTCTTCCAATGTGCGCTCCCTCCAGTCGTAGTTCACCAATTGACTTTTGCCTTCATTTCACTAGCAACAAATTATTTCTAGAAACCGAACGCGCCCTTCTGTCGGGTCACAAAGTTCAGCGTTCCACACAACAAACTAAATTCTTTCGTACGATATTAAAATACCACGCCCGCAATCAGAACTCAAAATCCGCCTCGTTGACACGTAAAACAAACGAAAATAGTCAACACACAAAAGGGCACTTAACGCGACGTTACCATTCAACATTAACTTCCAAAAACAGTTAACCGGGCCACGCCCTCGAAATGGAATGCGATTGTCAAATTCCAGGCCGCCTTTCAACTGGGCGCGCGCGCACGAGACCGCGTCACACAAGCAAATTAAATATTGCAAAACGCACTTCAAGATGCAATCACTATACAAATTGACGTAAATTACTTGCAAACGAAGTTACTTTAATCACTCAAATTCCATACAAGCCTCTTGTCACGAAACGTACAAATTAGACAAACCAATTCGAGGCGGTCTACACGAAACCCAAATATTCAATAGTAAATTAGACGCGCACAATTACTCAAATTCTAGACCACCAAAACCAAAAACTGGCCGCGCGCAACCGATCCAGCGGTCGCAAATAATACAACTAGTCGACAGAGCCACTGCGGTCAAGCTACTACTCTCGGCTCACCCGACCGAACGCCGATAAGCGGCACACCGCCCCCCACCCCGGCGGCGGCGCTCACGTCACCTCACACCATCGGGCGATGCGCCGAGTCACGCTATTGGATGCAACTTCGAATGCCTATATTTGGCCTAAACACTAGTAGTACCAGTTACTCGACTCAACAGACTAAGTAATTAATTCTTGGGGCGATGTATACGATTTTACAACGAATCCCAGAAAATTAAAAGGGTTATAACAATATTAAGGAATTAATGGATGATAATAAACTCTAGGAATGGAGGTGAACGCTACCAAGTTATTAGTGTTATTTGTGTAGTTAGCAATCACATGATTGCAAACTACTTTTTTCAACAAAAAAATCTCCCGTAGGTAGGTTTCTTGCTGGTTCTATCCAGGACAGAGGTATGTTTCGAACAAGTGGTAAATTAAAGTGATTTTCAATAAGTATTATTTATAATCTCTATTAATCCGTATCACAGTGACTTAGCAATGAGTTACAGCACTGAACGCCGCGAGTTCGGATCCCGCACGGAAGAAGTATTTGTCTGGATGTATGTTCTTCTGCAATTTATCTATGTAAACTGCCTCCAAGATACAGGAGCAAATCCTAGTGTGGAAGTAATTAAAAAAAATAATCCGTTGGGCTCTATCAGTTTACTCTGGTTCTGACGTGAATACCATTGTTACATATTCTATCATACAAAAAGACTCCGCGCATAGCCCTCTCCATCGTTTACAGTTCCATTTTATATCATCACTGGCAACATGCACTGGTGCAGAAGATGCCCAGCCACTTGGGTCCTATCCTTTTAGAAGTTGAAATTACTTAACCAGACAATTTATTCTATATGAACGAACATATTTGTTAACAATTTTCAATGAAGTGTTCACAACAACTATCTACATAGGTGTAATATGAACATTACATATATCTATAAGCCAAAGTGGAAATAGGCCGGTTATATATACGTGATGTACGATATGGAGCAATATAATATTTTTATTTAAAAATCCTCTTAACATTTAATTTACTAATTTAAACTACTGTTAATGTCCAGCAGTGGGAAACATTTTGTGCTAATGGCAATTTAAAAATTATCACAAGCTAGTTCAGATTATACTCATTGTTATAATTGAAGTTAGATATTACATTCACAATTAGCTGATTTAAAAATGTAGTAAATAAAAAAAAAATAAAGAAGCAAAAAATTTTATATTTTGGTATTCTTCCGTCATAAGTAAAACAACACAGGCAACCACAGGCATACCTGTATCTTTTTAAAATAGACTTTTGTAAATCATCGGAAAACGCAAATCTTCTAGTTAAGTTATTAGGATAAAAAGTATTTTTTTTTTATGGGATAGGGTGACAAACGAGCACACAGTCCACCAGATGGTAAGTGGTTGCTGCGGCCCATAGACATCTACATTTATCCTCGTTTGCGAATCAAAATGCAGACGCGTTGTCACCCGTGAGGACTAAGATGGAATGCCTCTTTTCCAGTAAAAAGGGTCTCCGGTTCTCTATACTCACCATACGAAACACAGCAGTGTTAAGTTGCTATTTTACGCTGGTATTCTGTGAGAGCGTGGTCCTTCCCCGGTCGAGCCGACCCATTCGTGCTACAACTATACTACTATCTACTAATATAGCTGCAGCATGGCTCTACCACGTTTAATTTTATTTATTGTATTTGAAAACAAAATATAGATAACAATATGTATTGAATATATTAAGTAAAAAAAACCTTTACAGATTACAATTTATGCAAAATATTTGTTTTGTATTCATCGATGTTAACAGTAACAATATAAATTATGTGTTAGCTTGACACATAATAGACAGTTACAGATACCTAAGTTATGTTGATTTTCTCTGCTTTGACAGCAGATTTAAAATGGCGTTAGTTGTGCACAAAATATTATACTACCATTTGTATACCCCCTTTAATGGCTTCGCATAAGAATATAATATGTTAACGCACCCCTTTTTACTTACGACGGCAGTTTGAGTATTAACATAAATAAGCAGTGAAACAAAGGTATCTAAGAAAGATATTGGTGAACCTGGCGGTGCGTGGTGCTGCTGGTGCATGGCGGGCGCCGGCGCCTGGTACACGTCGCGCTGGCGCAGGTGGTAGTCGTAGCTCTCCTCGCCCACCGGCTCCCCGCCCGCGCTGCCCAGCGACCGACTGCAATCATACATTATTAAATGTCGTTACGGCACTTATGAGTTATTTTTAAATATCTTTACAGGACTTATGGGAATCCTCCCACGGTTATTCATAACAATAGCAGTAGCTAATTATTTTTCAACCTATAGCACTGTCACACATAGTGCACAAAATATATATTTTATTGATAAGTATTGAAAGATACCACTTTATGACCTTATACCTCTCAGTCTCAGTCAGATATAATATTATTTAAAAACAGATTTAATATTTTCGTAAATGTTACCTACACCACACTAATCACATTACAGGATTTTCTCCTAATTTGTATAGACAAATTGACGAAGCAATCATTATTATGCAAAGATAACACCTCTGCGTAGTGGCGACAGGGTGATGATGAAACATGAGATGGACAGCAGCATCTCCCTGATAATAACTCAATATTAAAAATTTGTAGTTGCCAATCCGCCTGCTAAGCTTGCACTACTGAGTCATCATTATCGGAAAATACAAAACATATGTATTTCAAACGTAACTCATAAATACAGACTAACACGTTAATAATAAATATGTTTAATTTATTACTTAATAATATTTGAATTTAAGTCTCCACAATCTTCCCCTTTCATCATATTGTGATAAACAAAAATTTAAAATCAGAATAGCCTTATAAAGAACTTTCTATTTATTTCAATAGTATGAATATATTATATTAATAACTCAAGAACCATACTGTATAAAACATTTAACACAAAAATAGTTATAGCCTGTACAAAGACAGTGTGCGATAAAGTGATAAACTTTTCATTTTTTAGAAAATTTGTAAAAATATAATAAAAAAAATACATAAAACTAAAACAAGTGTAACAAAGGCAAGATTATCATTTATTCTGATATTACATAATTTTACTTTAACAAATCATATACTTACTTTGCAAGTGTATTTGTACAAACAATGTACTCTACTTCATCATTGTATGGGTTGAGAAAAGCAAAGGCAGATGTTCTCAGCCATATCCACTCTCTGCTTTTGGTCCGAAACCGATACATTAGGGAGATTATTTGGCCTTTAAGCTTGAGAACTGAAAAAGTGAACAAAGTCGTATTCAAACGTTGTAATGCGAACAGTAAGTATAATAAGGATTAGATACGTGTCTCACGACTAGATGTATTTCAATTAGTAAGCGATAAAAACAAAACAATATTTACAGAAATTTTAGATCTAAATTGATCAAAACATATTTAAATTTAAGAGGACGTTTCAGTTAAAAATGACAAATAGCGGCAATGAGTGGAGTGTGTGTATGTGGACTTGTGAAGGACTGTAATTATGATGGAAGCACTTTCAAAAACGTGTTCAGGTCTAAAAGAGGTGTACCTTGGTCGAAGTTGTCGCGCATGTGCTGCTGGTCCTCGGGGTGGTAGAACTCGTAGCAGAGCTTGCCGAGCAGGTCGGCGGGCGCGTGGCCCACCACCTGCGCGGCGCGCTGGTCGGCGAACGTGAAGCGTCCGTCGGCCGCGTGCCGCGACACGAACTCCGCGCCGCCGCACGCGCCGCCCTCCGCGCTGCTCGGCGTCGACGTCACCTGCGACACCGCCACCACACCGCTCGCTTACTCTGCCCGCCTGCTACATCGTCTCACACACACTTAGACCCGTATTAATAAACCTTACTCAGCTCAAGTACACGCACTTGAGTACGATCTTGAGGTTATGATCTTCTCTATGATATCTCAAGATGCGGCTTAAGTTTACAATATCAGCCGAAACCGAAACTCGATTCTCAAGTGTGTGTACTTGAGATGCTAAAATGTGAGTGCGGGCAGTCCGTGACTTAAGATCATGATTGACATGACATGGAGAGTGAAAATATTTTAAAATAAATTAATTATCACGACGAAATAGAGTACAATGACGATATTTTACGGCCTTCACGATATTGTTTACCAAAAATTTATATAATGGATGCCTCCGATCCTTTTAAGTTACGAAGTGAACATTTAAAAAAAAAACTATACAGATTTGTTCAAGAATCAGTATAATATAACATTAATAAAAGACCCATTGGTGAAATACAGTAACAGAGGTCTTCCATTTCTCCAAAAATAGCCGTTCTATTAACTTTATGATTTTTCGCCACATTTCAATTACGTACTATATTGTATATTTATTTAAGTAGGTATAATTTATTTCATTATTTAAATTAATATAATGTATTAAATTTCAAAGGCAAACGGCATCCACGATTCGTAAGATAAAATAAATGTCATGACCAAATACATGCTGCTATGGAGATTCAGATTACTGATGTTGTTTTAAAAGTGATATTTATAGTACTATAATTACCTACTGGGTTAGATGCGTATAGACTAGCGTTTGTATTCTACAGTTACTTTGCTCCAGGCCTCATTTTTAATACGTATTTTTTATAATACCCAGAAAGTATTTTTCTCAATCGGATTAAATACATACTTCTCGCTCTCCATTTTTGTATAAATTAATTCTTTATAAATTAAATTAATTTCCCGCGAAATCAATGTTAAGTAATCAAGATGTTTTCCAGTGTCAAAAATGATACGTCAGTTTTATATTTGACACTGGCGCTGTCGTCGCTTTAATGCGTTAATCTATTTGTACATATTGAATTAAGTAGTATACATTTAGTTCGTATTGAGAAATACATACATAATAATTTTAACAATTTAACGTTTTTTAAGGTTAGAAAACAACTTTATAACGTGATAAAGCTCTATTTATTTAAGTTTTATCAAAATAAAAGTATTCAATAAATCTCACGATATAGCAAAAACGAAACGATATTCTAAACTTCGGTCTATGTGATGTAATCGTTCACGAGATCAAGCCCTCTAGTTACAGAACAGTATTCATAAGTACAGCGTGTTGAGATACTCTTTTTATGCGTTTATTAATTAGCAACGATCTTGAAATGTTGATATCGTAATGAGGGCGTATCAAATGATTACGCACTTGAGTTCGTCGTTGAGTAACGTTTATTAATACGGGCCTAAATAACTCTCCGTCGGCTCCATACTTGTGCCACATTTTTTGATTTTGAATGACGCATTCTAGCCAACCTTATATCTAATATAAGATTTTTACGCTGCGTGAAGCATGCGGCGCGCCGTCGCGACGAGTCGCAACTTTCTTTCCCGCTCACACGCGTGGACCGACCGCATTAGTTCGCCTCGTCACGCTTGTTCCTCACTCAGTCGAGTCGAACGTATATTGTTGTGTGGTGTTAACAATGGTGATTGTTGGACGTATGTCGGGGTGGTACCACGACCTCACAGAATACCGGCGTAAAGTGAAAGATCTGCTTCTGCGTTTCGTCTGGTAAGTGCAGGACAACCAACCCCCCCCCCCCCCCCGGTCAACATGGTAGCGGAATTAAATGTAATACTACTACGAATCAGCTCGTATCACTCATTAACCCCTGGTAATGAAGAATCCTTGCTGAGCATCCACGACCACTAACTCCTCGGGGGCAAGCTGAGCAACAAGACGGCGAAGCCGGCCTTGCTCTTTCTGACCGAGACGCAAGTGTCCTCTCCGGCTGATAATTCCGTACCTCTCCTACTCGGGGTACAAATTGGAACACTCCTTTGTGCCTCGGGCTCGAGTTTGCGTATTCATCTGAGAGGACATCTGTTTTCGACGCCTCGGCAGTCTTGAAGAAACTGTCCATCCTTTGGCTACGTGTAGACAGCGACGACCATCTGCATGTTTACGGCCTCTATAGGTCCCATATGTTTCCCACAACGGCTGGTCTCCGCGGGAGCACTAGACCAAAACCCTCCAGCAAACACAACATTTAACATTGCAACACTCAACACAAGAACTTTGCGAACACAAGAAAGCTTACTCGAATTGGACATTGCGATACAAAATATAAAATTTGATATTCTGGACATATGTAAACTGAGAAGGTCACATGAAAAAACAGAACGAAACGATTACATATTATATCAGAAAAGTGAAACAGCTGGTCAAAGAGGAGTGGGCTTCTTAATAAAAAAACATTGAAAAATTATATACAATAACTGATAGGCATTTCAGACAGAATAGCGATACTTAACATTAATATACCAAGGTACAAATAACTGCGGACAATTATACAAGCATATGCACCCACAGAATTATCATTAGAAAGTGAAAAATTTTACTGCACTCTGTCTGACATTACAAAAAAATACCATAATAACTTCCTTATAGTCATGGGTGACTTTAATGCACAGGTTGGCTACAGAGAACCTGGCGAATAATTGATAACGGGTAAACATGGATATGGAAAGAGGAGTGCAAACGGGCACCGACTAATTGAATTTCTACTACAAAATAACTTAATATTACTCAAGTCAGTCTTCAAAAAAAAATCCACAAAACCAAGTGGACCTGGATATCACCTGATGGCAAATATAAAAACGAAATCGATTTCATAATAACTAATAAACCAACGTTTTTCCCAGATACACACATTATTTAAATTTTAAATTTTAATACGAACCACCGCATGGTACGCTGCCGTTTAAAAAAGCATCCACCCCAAAAAGAGGTAGAAATAAAATTAAAAATAAATTGATATTAGAACAATACAGAAAAAAAATAGATCCTTCGTTCATCAACACAATGAAAGAAATAGTAAACTCTGACAGAAGTGTCACAGAAAAATACGATTACATGGACAAAGAACTATCAAAATTGCGGAAAGTAAAGGTAACTAAAGATGTGAAGTTTGGTGAGAAGACAATAAAACTCCTAGAAGAACGATAAGCACTAATGACAGACAAATCAAAAATTGAAGAAAACCGTAACATAATATCTAGACTGAGCAAATAGATTCGAGAAAATATTAGAAAGGATAGGAAATTAAGAAGAATGAAAAAACTAGAAGATGAAATCCAAAGAACAGGGGGAACAAAAAAGCTTTCAAGGAATTAAGAGAATATGGAATGGAATGGATACCAAAACTAAAAAGCAACATATCCAAACAAGTAACAAATCGTAGAAGAATCCAGAGCCTTGCCACAGGCTACTATCGAATTCTTTACTCAAACAATGACACCGATCGAGAAAAGAATGCCACTAACGATCCTAATACGAGTTATAAAAAAGTCCCATCGATACTATTGCAGAAAGTACAGAAAGCCATCATGTCACAGAAGCTAGAAAAAGCTCCAGGACCTGACAATATAACAAATGAGCTAATCAGAGGCACCGAAGAAGAAATAAGCCCAATCCTAACCAAGCTATTCAATGATATTATAACAACAGGCACCATCCCGAAACAATGGAATGAATCACATATCAATCTCCTACATAAGAAAGGAAATAAAGATGACATCGGCAACTATAGACCAATTAGCCTAATATCAAATGTGTACAAAGTATTCGCAAAAGTAATTCTAGAAAGGATAACAAGGGTCTTAGATGAAAACCAACCGATCGAACAAGCAGAATTTAGAAAGAACTACAGTACTATAGACCACATCCACACAATCAAACAAGTCTTGGAAAAATACAATGAATACCAGAAGACATTGTAATCTGCTTTATAGACTGACTACTCCAAAGCATTTGACAGCCTAAAACAGAAATTTATCTGGCTGAGTTTAAAAGAACAAGGAGTGGACGATGTCTATATAGAGCTAATCAAGTCCATCTACAAAAAAAGCAGTATTAAATTAGAGTTAAAAGGAGACCCCCTTTCAATAAACAGAGGTGTGAGACAAGGAGACCCATTATCTCCAAAGCTTTTTAATGCTGTGCTCACACACATTTAGAAAATTAGACTGGGATAATTATGGTATTATAATCAATGGAAGCCGCCTCAATCATTTGAGATTTGCAGATGATATTGTCCTGTTACAAACTAAATGAAACTAGAACATATGGTAAAAGACATATCAGAAAAAAGCAGAGAAGTAGGTTTAGAAATTAATGCAGATAAAACAAAACTAATGACTAACTCAACAGAAAGCAACATAGAGGTCTACGATGTATGTGGAAGAATATGTTTACCTAGGATAAATTATATCTGCTGAAGACTCCATGTCCAAGGAAATAAACAAAAGAATAGCCTGCGGTTGGAGGAAATACTGGTACTTGAAAGAAATAATGAAGAACAAAGATCTAGGCATACATATCAAGAGAAAGACTTTCAACACTTGTATTCTCCCCTGCATGACATACGGCTGCGGGATAAGGGCATTAACGGACAAACATTGAGAAAAACTTGCTAAAACAGAAAGAGCAATGGAAAGAAGCATGTTGGGAATCAGGCTTAGTGACAGAATCCGAAATGTGGAAATAAGACGGAAGACAAAAGTAACAGATATAATAACTCGTATAGACCATCTAAAATGGAGCTGGACAGGAAATATGCTACGTAGCAAAATAAATAAATGGAGCAAACAAGTAACCTTATGGTATCCAAGAGGAGACATCAGAAGAAGAGTGACGATATCCGCCTAACTCTAGGACCATACTGGATCAGAGTTGCAGAGGACCGGGCTCAATGGAGAGAGCTGGAGCAGGCCTACGCCAAGAGGCACGCCGAATTGCGTGATATAATATAAGAAATAAAAATTATAAAATTAAAAATGTTAAACTGCATGTAGTGTAGGTCCCAGAGCGGTAATGCCGAAACAGACCGATTCAACGATCACGTCCAAATGGCTACAGATTCCTTGCTACAGCGGATCCCATGCGCAGAGATCGTGCTCCTCAGCGATTGTAACGTCCACCACGTCGAATGGCTTGGTTCACGTTTAACCAATCATGCGGGGAGATCTGTTCATGATTTTGCCTTGGCATATGGTCTGACACAACTGATAACTTCACCTACGCGGATTTTAGATGTGGAAGATCATCCACCTTCCCTGTTGGATCTTCTGCTGACCTCTCATTCAGATAGATATCAGGTTTCCGTCCACTCCCTTCTTGGCTCCTCAGACCATTGTCTGGTCCGGAGTGTGGTGCTACTTACACTAACATCGCGATTGCATTCTACAGGCTGGCTAAAAAAGGCAACCGCTCAGACCCTTTTAGCTATGCCTATCGCTATCACCTCACTCTCATTATAAACTGCCAGCTCATGCGGTATCTTGAGGATCACCAACTGATTAGTGACCGCCAATACGGTTTTCGTTGTGTTTGATAAGCTGGTGATCTTCTGGTCTACCTGACTCATAGATGGGCGGAGGCATAAGAGTCCAAGGGGGACACATTGGCCGATAGCTTGGACATTGCGAAGGCCTTCGATCGGGTTTGACACAAAGCGCTTCTTTCGAAGCTCTCTTTCTATGGGTTTCTCGAGAAATTGTGCAATTGAATCACCAACTTTCTTGCAGAACGGAGCATCTCCTCAGTTTCAAGGCACTGCCTTGTTGCATCAGTCAGTATCGGAATCCCCGGCGTCGATATATCGAAGTATCGTGGTCACTTGGAAGAGAAGGCTAAATTGGCCTCTGAAACGCTTTGCGTGCTCAGCAGAGAGGGACAGTATTTCATGCCGGCACACCGCTTACAACCTTACAAAGCGCAGTTTCGGCCTCACATGGAATACTGTTCCCATCACTCATCTGCTTTTGATACCAACAATTTGGTTTTCTTTAAGTTATTTTTAAGAAATCTCTTCCTAATCAAACAATATCTAAGGCCTATGGCCAGCCACGCCGCGCCGCCGCGACGCCGCCGCCGTCGAGGAAATTTTCAGGCCACGCCGCCGCCGTGGAATTGGTTTTCGGCGCTCATATCTAGTGGTAACCCGTCCCTGTGTCACTCGTATAGGAGTAAGGCCCGTATTAATAAACGTTACTCAGCTCACGTACACGTACTTGAGTACAATATCTTATTAATAAACTTATCTCAAGATGCGGCTTAGGTTTACGATATCAGCTGAGTGACGCACTGATTAATAAACGAAACTCGCCTCTCAAGTGTGTGTACTTGAGATGCTATCTGAGTGCGGGCAGTCCGTGACTTAAAATCGTGATTGTTGACATGGAGATTGAAAGTATTTTAGGAGAAATTAATTAATACGACGAAATTTAGTACAATGACGATATTTTACGGCCTTCGGGATATTGTTTACCAAAAATTATATAAGGGATGCCTCTGACTCTTTTAAGTTACAAAGTGATAATTTTAAAAATGATATAGATTTGGTCTAGAATCAGTAATATAACATTTTAAAGACTTTATAACCATTTAGTTCGTATTTAGAAATACATACATCATAGTTTTGACAATTTCAGGTCTTCGAAAGTAGAAAACAACTTTATAATATATAAATACAACAGCTATATTTATTTAACTTTTATCAAAATAAAAGTATTTAATAAATCTCAAGATAGAGTAAAAACGAAACGTGATGAAAGATACCATTATCATCATCTATTTTACTTCCTCGTAAATCATTGTCTGTTAGTGAAAACCGAATGAAAGGCCCATATCCCTAGTGGTTTTTAAGATTCGCGCGAACATACACGCAGACAAACGCGGCGGGAGACTTTAAATTATTTATACTAGATAATTAATTTGTAATAATTTTATAATAAATCACTCACCTGTAACCGTCCAATAGCGACAAGGCAGCAATGTGACGCGTGCAATTCATCTTCAACTGGCCGATCCATCTGCATACCTGGAAAGAGATCTAATGTCCCAAAATACATAAAATCGTGTTTTTAAATATTTAAAAACAAAATTTCATCCTCCAATTATATAAAAAATAATTTATTGTAATTAAGCGCTTCCTTATCCATATGGTAATAATATACATTTCGAAGATAAAAATAAAATGCATTCTCATGTAGAAGATTGCAGGGACTACGTGCACGCAGAACTGCGTGTAACGTTGTTATGGCGACGCGACGTTCAGAATTCAGATAGGAACTAATTTGATGATAATTTTCTGCATCAATCTTCAAAAAAGTAAGGCATATTTATATTTAAACATTTTAACCCCTGTTCATCTAGTGACTATAAAGTTGATTATGTTTTGCATGTGATAACAAGGTTTACTACAGACAAAACATCGTCAGTATAATTTAAGATATTGCGTATCATTCGAATTAGTTGCAATTATCTGACCGTAGCCAAAACGATACAAACCTGTGGGAGGCCAGTTTTTTATGTAGCCGGTGCAGTGAACGACGGCGTAGTTGTGTCCGTCGTGCGAGGGGCCGAGCGAGTTGCGCGCGCGCAGGCGGCCCACGTGCGCGTCGCCCGCGCCCGCGCCCGCGCCGCCCACGCGCATGCGGCAGATGAACCCGCGCCGCGACCCCATCACCTGCCGCATCGACGCTGGGGACGCAACGCCAGCTTAGTACAATCCACAATACTAGTAACGCTATAACACTACTGATACTCCCGTTAAACACTCCAAATAAACTAAAATACCTGCGCTAGAAGTGGTTCATATCATATTGTCATGGACCACAGTCAAACTAATTTCCGACGTTCCAGGTGCCGTACAGTTGAAAATACCTGCGCTAGAAGTGGTTCATATCATATTGTCATGGACCACAGTCAAACTAATTTCCGACGTTCCAGGTGCCAACTTCAAATCGTTATAAATCCATCCAAAAATCCAAACTAGACATAGTTCGACTTTTCTTTTTTCTTTTTCATAAAATGGCGTTTGGTTGTGGCTATATTGAATTTAGATAACTGTCATGTCTTTAGTGATACTGATAAGATTAAGACAAATAGATTGATGTAAGAATCATCAATATCGGCCCACGCGTTTGTTTTTTAGAGCGCCACAAAGGAACAAACATACATGCATAGGCTGATAAACACATTACCCTCCTTTGCGTCGCGCAGTCTGGTAAAAAGAGCGGGAGTCGCTCATTAGAGTACATTTTTAATATCACCCATAATAATAGAGAGTTGATATAGTGGAATATATTTGTATAAGAGGCTTTCCAACGTATAAAAGTATGTAAGTACGTAACGTTTTCTAATATGCTTACATTGATGACCTTCTTTTTTAACGGTGCCCGTTTTTAAATCTAAAATGCGGCCAGTGTTCTGTGGCTCTTGCGTACTCAACTGTTCCCGCACTTTTTCAACATCGTCAGGGTGTACTTGATCATATAAACATGATGAGTACCATTCTCCCTGTAAAAAAAAAAAAACAGTTAACTTAAAATATTTAACACAATTATATTTAAAAAAAAATCAGTGTACGTACCTGCGAGTAATTAAGTACTGGCGCTATACTATCACTAACATATATAATACGGCCGGTGTCGCAACTGACGACAAATAAAAAACCGTCTGCCGCTTCTAAAATAAGGTGCTTTAACTCTTGATCGGTTAAAAATGATGGTTTGTATGTGCCATCAGTAGAGGTATTTCCCGTACCTAGAGAAAAGTAAAATAAATTATAATAATACTTAGTGGTAAGTGCATATTACAATATTTTACTTTTATTATATTATGTAGTACCTCTAAGTGCTTTCATGTGTGCTACTGCCATACGCAGTATGGTGAGTTTGTCGGGCTTGCGTGCGAGGGCGGAACATGTTGGAACCATGTCAGATAGTTCCGTAATATATGCCGTCATCTTGTTCCGTCGTCTGCGCTCGATTTCGCAATGATTCTCACGACTGAAATGTAAATGCAACTTTAAAATGAAGTGCACCGGTATATCACAATAATAACGTTTAATAATCGAGTAATGTATCGAGTTCTTTTAGGTTTTTAGGGTTATTGAGTAGATAGCTCAGCAATGAAATTCTTAATGTCATATTTATTTTCGAAATAATTTAGGCTTAATTGTCAATTGGAGGGAGACATTTGGTACTGCTATCGCCACCAATCTATCTGACATTGTGGCGATTACGGCTTATGGCGGCTCTTCACGTTGGCCAACATAGTGGCGAATGTGTTGGCAAAGATATTGGCCAAGAATTTGTGATCGCGTTGGAAGGTCGTTCAGTTTGTTTCGGTTCAGGCCAATGTGCGGACGAATTTATTAAAATGATTATTGAAGCGCTAACGGCTGCTGCGGTTTATTTATTCACAGCATACCACTATTTTATATTTAATTTTCACAATTTTTAAAATTTAATATTTTTAATATAAATTTTTAATATTTCTTTATTATACACTAACGTTATACAGATAAGTAAACTATATAAACATTAACACACCTAGGCATAGGTATAATTAACACTTTTACAACTAAGGCCTAGAGAAAATATTCGAAGCCTGTCTATGAAACTGTTGTAAAATTTTATTAAACAAAACCTTTTTAAAAAGGGTTATTATATAATTATAGAATAAAACTTAATAATAATAATAAATAATTTATTTCGTCAAACAAAGTTACATTATACGATCAGTGATCGAGGTCACCTAGTAAGCAAAATAATGCCTGTAACAGGTGACTTCGCTCTTCCGCAGCTAAAAATTACAGTATTATTAACGAAATAAAGTAACTAATAGGGAATAATAAAGACAGTAAAAACATGATTTTAGTATCCTACTTTTTAATATGATTTTAGTATCCTACATAGTCTCATAGCATTAATACATCAATAAATAAATTAATACATCAATCACTACAACGTGAATGTGTATAAGAAAAGGGTGATCAAAAAGAAATGGAAAAAAAAGAAATTTTATTTCTTGGCGGCTCCGTGGCGTAGTGGCTTAGCAATGAGTTGCTGCCCTGGGGGCCGCGGGTTCGAATCCCGCACGGAACAAGTATTTGTATAGCCTGCACTTAATTTCTCCGGGTCTGGATGTTTGTCCTTATGCAATTTATGTTTCTAAACTGCCTCCACGATACAAGAGAAAATCCTAGTGTGGGGGTAACATTTTTTTTTAAAAAGACGTGTTTCACAAACAAATTTCGGCTTGGTAGGGCTCTATAAAGCAAAAAGTTTTTTCATTGGTCATTGTTACTGCCGTTATGTAGACACTAGTTATGATGCGTGCATATAAAATTTAAATCAGGTGCGTGCAATCTCTCTGGGAGCTCGTAGCAGTGGCATAACAGTCCATACTATAATTTTTCTTAGAGGTATTAATATGTCAAGACAGTTTGTCCATGTTGCAGTAGATGTCGCTTTTTTTAAATTTAGCCATGCTAGGCCAATTAAGAATCAAACAAATTAATGAATAGTTCAAAATTAAATCGAACCTTGCTAACTTACTATTTTGTTACAAAACAAATTTGTAATTAAATTTTTAGTGTAATTTATTTATTTTACATTTATTCTAGTGAATTATTGTGATTTCGCCGTTGCAAATTGTTTTCTCCGTTTATCTATGGCAAGAGCCGGAGGGAGAGATCTATGGTCATTTCGGTCTGTCAATGTTACAAATGTCATTTATATTTAATTTTATTTTATACATACAATATTAAAAACAAAAGAAACTAAAACTTGTAGTTTGTGTGAGTGTAAAACTAGTAACTTCATTTAACGTAATTTAATTTGTCTGTTTGTCATTACATTTCCTTTTGTGGTTTGTGAATGTGCTCTGTTTGTGTTTATAAAACTTTAACAACTTTGCTTGATTCCCGGACTCCGAAGACTTCGCCTTTTTCGTTGTACTTACGCATGAAACTCTGGACCCTGATTTGCTTAACTATTTGTGCTCTGTTGACCTGGATTGTGGCTTCTTTTGAGAGAAGTTGTTGTGTACTATTATAATAAAAGGAAGCATTATAAAAAAACATCCAACCGCTAAACAGTTGTTTTATTTGCCTAAATTATATTGTATACAAAGTAATTTCCAAAAGCCAAATCAATATTAAAATGGTTTGACTTTTGGAAATTACTTTGAAAATAAATAATAAATATTGTAATATAGAGCATCCTACGTCGTCGCTGGGCTGTAGGGACGTCGTATATCGCTAGATGGCGCTAATGCTACGATTCTAAGTGATGACTCTATTCCCTATATATAATGTACTCTGTGGCTCGTAGCAAACTGAACGTGCGCCCAACGTGTGGACGCGGCGGCCAATACTCTGCCACAAACCTTTGATCTTTTGTAAAAAACCGACACCAGACTACAGAACAAACAAACAGAACACCGACGACAGCCAACTTGTGGGCCATCGTTCCAATACGTACCAACGTAGCTTAAACACCCGCTCTACACGATGGCCATCGTTGTTGGCCAACACATTCGCCAGTATGTTGACCAACGTGTAGAGCCGCCGTTACTCTTGCTACAATTGAAAAGACCTATGTCCAGCCAATGATACTTTTTTAGATACGTTATATGTTCACAAAACCACTGAAAAAAAGGTGCCGTCCCAGCGACAGCACACATACCAACACATTTTAAAGTTTTACTAACATTTCACTACATATTCTCTACGTCTGTTGTTGTCATTTCTTTAAGCTTTCGTAATCATGGCGTCACATTTTGCTAGCCAAGGGCCGGAGTGGCTAATTGACCACTTTCCGACGCTTCAATTTTGGCGTGCTAGTAACGTATCTACCTTTTTTTATATATAAATATCATTTTGTCCAGCATCGAACTCGTATGGACTGACAAAGAAGATATGTATGTAAGTTTGTAATAAATTATTTTATCAATATCACCGCATGTCTAGAAGGAGACCATTTTATTAGCATATCTTAATAACTTCTTAAATTTAAACAATGTTAATAAATAAGTAATATCAAAGGTACCTACGTACACGCATAACACGATAAGACACGTTTCCAATCATTACACGGTGACATAATTGATGGCGTGCTCATGGGAAAAATAATTGCCTATGATAGAGCTTACCAATGGATTTTCTTATAACGATGGTAATAAAAACGTTTTGTAAAGCTAACGTGGGAATTTATAATAATAAGTAACCAGGTGTTAACTAAGCATTCATTCACGTGAAAGCTTAGCAATCATAATATTAAGTATGGGCAAAATTACGTATGTTTACTTACTGAAAAATAGATTGCGTACGCAACGTTACGGCTCAAATAAATTGTTATTAGAGATATCATTCGATCGGAGAATCTATTTAATTGAACATTAAAATAAATAGTGATAAGATTTAATATATAAGTAAATAAGTTAAAAATAAATTGCATTATTAACTATTTGTGTAAATGGAGGTTCAAATGGCAACAGAACAATGGGGTTAGGGTGGTGAAAGCGATGCCCTTGGTACCATTATTTTTGAGGACGTTTAAGTCACATTACTACTGTTGGAATTTGTTCGTTAAATTATGATGATAATCATAATGTCCTTAGCGTTTACGACCCCGTAAAGAGCTGCCAAATACTTAGGAACTCTATCAACGGTGTTGGAAATATTAGAGTGGCAAAACTGTACGCATCGGCACACATTCACTTATAATTTTGCTTGTACCCGGTGTAACGGTTATGACTTAAGATCGGAGGCTGGCATCCTGCATTGTAAAATGCACGGAGAACATCACTACACAATTTATGTGTCTAGCTCAGGAACGTGCTTTGTGACATTCCTTGGGAATACTTATATATAGCAGTAGGCTTGTTCTTGTGTTATTTAAAAAATTAATGTGCCTAAGTCATAAACAACATTACTTTATCGATAACGTTTTTTATTTTGCTAAAGGCGATGTCTATGAAATGGAAAAAAGACAATAACCTTGTGAGAGAAAAAAGGTGGCAATAATACAGCCATCTGCTTTGTGCCACATAAAAAATTATACATAGTATAAACATTCCAACTACAATAATTTTGTTCTTATTTGAGATTGATATATACATGTCTGATTGTGATCTCATAGTGATACAGAATTGTATAGATAATCAGAGTAAATTAGTTCGGTTAAAGAAATATAGACTTAATTACAAAAAAAAGGTTTTGAATTTTTCAATATAAAATAGCAATTTCCCGCAATAGCAACCCCTAATAAATTGGATATAAATAATAATTGTAAAGTAAATACACAAATGTATTTAAAACTTCTATTATAATAGAACGTAATATAGCTTACGTGGTAGAGCCATACTGCAGCTATATTTCTGTGATAGAGCCATGCTGCAGCTATATTACTGGTACAGTCGTAGCTCGAATGGGTCGGGCTTGACAGGAAAGAACCACGCTCTCACAGAATACCAGCGTAAAATAGCAGCTTAACGCTGCTGTTTTTCGTATGGTAAGTGTAGAGAACCGGAGATCATTTTTACTAGAAACGAGGCATTCCATCTTGGTCCTCACGGGTGACAACGCACCTGCATTTTGATTCGTAATCGAAAATAGATATAGATGTCACACCAACCACACACACCACTTACCATCAAGTGGACTGTGTGCTCGTTTGTCACCCTATCCTATAAAAAAATAGGCTAAGATAACTAAAATTAAGAGTATACAAGCAAGATATACGCTTTAATATGCTCTACAAAGTTAAACAATGTTTCAGGCGGTAATTTTAGAACATACCTTGCAAACCTTTCCTTGTCTTGAATATTGTCCTCCTCCATCCTTGTGTATTTCCCACCACTTGCGTCGTCTTCATCGGACCTGATAGCAGAGAAAACGTTTTTACTTTAGAAATATTACTGTCCTCATAAAGGCATAAGTGATAGTGCTGCTTCTACCATTTATACAATAACAATATTTTTTCTTTTATTTCATGTTTCGATTTATAATATACTAGATGTTCCTCGCGACATCACCCGCGTGGAATTTATTACGATTGGATTACATGGGTTTTCATTTTTTTTTTTGCGCGGAACCCTAATTCTTTTTCTAAAATATACGTAGTCTAAGTTACTCCTTATAAAATCAGCTATCTGCCAGTGAAAGTCCCGTGAAAATCGGTTCAGTCATTTCGGAGATTAGCCACAACAAACCGACAGACAAAAATTTAAATAATTGTTTTTTGTTATATGTACGGTACAGATATTTTTTACAGACATTACAAGCAGACACTTCAATTTTATTTATTTGTATAATATGTATATAGGATATACTACATTGTTATTAATTTTTAATTTGAAATAAGGATGTTTAGTTTATAAATTTATCGAAAATTTTTTGTTAAATCAAATAGAAACTCTTTATTACATAAACTAAAAGTATCGGGAATGGAATATTTCCACTGTTCCTGTCATATTAAAATCTTTTTAATTGAAAAGTCCTTGGTTTTTTAAAATTGAATACCATTTATTTATTTAAAAAAAGATTCTCGGTCTTGTCACAAGGTTTTGTCAAACTTGTTTAGTCGTTGAGAAAATGGAATTGACTCGAGAAGATTCAAGAGCGATGATTTATTATGACTTTCGAAGTGGTTTAACACAAAAACAGTGTGTTGACTGGATGATTTCTGCATTTGGTGATGAAGCCCCATCCAAAACCACAATTTAACGCTGGTTTGCTGAATTTCAACGTGGACGTGTCAAGCTCAGTGATGATCCCCGTCAAGGTCGTCCAAAAACTGCAGTCATCCAAGAAAACTTTGATGCTGTGCGTAAGCTGATTGAAGAAGATCGACATGTGACATACCGCGAAATTCAGGCAACTTTAAACATTGGCATGAGTCAAATACAAATAATCTTGCATGAACAATTAGGTGTAAAAAGTTGTTTTCCCGATGAATACCGCATTCGCTCTGTGAAGAGCAAAAAGCGGCTCGCGTTACTTGGTGCGTCAGAATTCTCGAAAGATTCCACGCGGGATCCTCAAATGCTGTATACAACATCGTATCAGGTGACGAATCCTGGATATACGCGTACGAACCCGAAACAAAAAAACAGTCACGAGTTTGGGTGTTCGAAAATGAGTTAAAGCCAACAAAAATTGTTCGTTCACGGAGTGTTGCAAAAAAAATGGTGTTATCTCCAAAACCGGCCATGTTACGACTATTCCTCTTGAGGGACAAAGAACAGTTAATGCAGAATGGTATGCTAGCATTTGTTTGCCACAGGTCGTTTCTGAACTCCGTAAAGAGAGAACAAAAGAGTTTTTAGACCAAGAAAACATAGAATTATTAGACCATCCGCCGTACAGCCCCGACCTAAGCCCTAATGATTTCTATACTTTCCCTAAAATAAAGAATAAATTGCGTGGACAGAGATTTTCATCACCTGAAGAAGCTGTGGACGCCTACAAAACGGCCATTTTGGAGACCCCAACTTCCGAATGGAATGGTTGCTTCGTAATGATTGGTTCCATCGTATGGAAAAATGTGTCAAATTTCGCGGAGAATACTTCGAAAAGCAATAAATACATTTTATTTATAAATAGTAATGTTGTGTCACTTCCTTGATTCCTGAAAATTTCAGTGCCGCCCTCGTATTCGAAGTGAGAAAACAAAGTTTCATTTGTCATCATCATGTATTTAAAATACTAACATTGATTGTACCATTGTATATGGAGTTAATGTGATAAAATAAAATAAAACAAAAAAATATTCCACACAATCAAGTCGCTGCTAAAACAATGTGCATAAAAGTATTAAGGCCCCGACTTCAGAAGTTATTGTGTAAAAATAATTTAAGTCTTTTTAGTTCTTTGAATATGACTTTTAAAAGAATAATTTTTTGATCCTTTTGAATAAGCTCTAGTCTCATCTAAATAGTTAATTTATAGTTTTTTGGAACCAACACAAAAAGTATTACCTATTTAATAAAAACAAGAATCATTAAAATCGGATCACAATTGACGAAAGACGAGTAAGAAACATACAGTAAATCTGAAAACCACTACCTTTTATGATGTTGGCTAAAAATAATATGTATATATTTGATTCTTATTGTTACGAAAGTTATAACCATGTTTTGTGCGGGATTCAAACCTGCGATTTGCTGTACTTAATAATTAAAGTCCTTATCCATTGCACTACCGAGTATAAAACATAAGTGAAAACATAACCATAGGAAAAACACAAGTTCTCAAGATTACTATTATTACAAATTATTTCTTTAATTATTCCTTCAGTCGTAAGAGGTGACAGAGGGGACTAAAACACAAGATGGGCAGCAGCATCTTCCTGATAACAACTCATAATTGTAACAAACTATGGTTGCCTTTCCAAAAGTGGCACCTATGCCGGAATTCCCCCATGGAGCAATCTAAGGGGGGAGGCCTATGTTCAGCACTGGAATTTATACGCTATTATGGAGTAATGAATGAATAACAATTATTATAGTGCAAAATTGCATGATAAGAGAAGTGTGGTTTGCAAGATGTTGTGACTAGAGATGCTGTGAATACTCACTATTATTCGGTATTAATTGACATTTTGTTGTTATTCGTCGAATACCGAATAATAGCTAATATTATTTGACATTCGATAATACTAGCTATTATTCAGTATTCGACGAATATTTGTCTAAAATAAACTTTTAATTAATGAAATAACTATAAACGTAAAATAAACTAATTTTTCTTAAAAAGCAAGACACTTAGTATTAAATATTATCATCTATAAAAAGTTAGCCAAAAGTCAGTCATTTCATGTTGAAGTTAATTTAACTAATGACTTTTTAATAAATATTTAAAAAATGTCTGCTGTCCAACCTAAACACAAGTGAAATAGATTGGGCGGAAAATCCCCTACACTGTACGGCCTACAGTATTAAATGCTGGGTTATTCAAACAAGGCATTCTCCACAAAAATCTCGGTTTCTTTTTTCATATCCTTAGAATTTTTTTAGATTACAGTAACAAATAAATGATTTGTATGTTCAAGACTACTTACAGGCTACTACTAAGTTAAATCATTTTTTATATTCCTTTTTTTAAGTTGTATAATAATGAATAATGGCGAGTTATTTGTCTATTTGCCATTGCAGCGCGGCGGACACTTCCGAGCCCTAAAACCTTTACAGAAATGTGGAAGGGCCTGTGTCCAGCAGTGGGACATATTATATAGGCTGTAACTTTTATACATTAAGGTTGCAGAAGTGAATAATGGAAACATCAAGGGATACCCTAAATGGAAGTTTATCTACCAAATTGGCAATATATTGAAGTTGGCCCAAATTAAGAGTGCTGTTAAACGACAAGCACGTACATATATATGGACATGAAAAGGCAAAGTGTCAAGATTATGCCAAATGGAAGTAGTCTCTGTCTGCTCCTCTAGATGACAGCAATGAGTGTTTATGTTTATATTATGTTCATAGAATAACACTTACTTTACAAATTTTATAACTTTTCATTGTAACCTATTTTAAATTATCAACATGCAAAAAATCTAATAAGATAATAACCTCTTTTACAGCTTTCACTAATAAATTAAACATCATGAAAGAAGTGCTTCATTAATAATATAATTAAAATCAGATAAATGATCACCAACATCTTAATGAATAAAAGTATTACACTAAGAACAGAGCAGAATTTGGCATACATAACAAACTAACACTCTCGTATTACAGTGTTCTAAGCATGGGCCTCTCAAAATCTATGCTAAATGCTCCACTTACCATCAAATACTCACTACTCAGGCCTTAAGCTTAAATTGAAAGGTTAAATTATTTTGATGAACAAAATAGAAAAATAGTGAAATAGTGTGTATAAGAAATAATATTTTTTTTTTTACATTTGAGCCCTTATTGGGATTCCACATTCTACATAACATTTAATAGCACAGTGCAAAATTGAATTATACAAGTTGGGAATTATTTCAACAAATTTTTTTTAAGATCAGTAAAATATCTGGTGTGTACAAAGGATATCTTACCCAACACTGCCAGCACGGCGCTTTTGTATATCTTTTGATGGGTCAGCCCCTATAAAAGAAACTATTTTTAATTGCTGTACATTTTTGTTCTAGACTATATTTCACATTTTTTATGAGTATATATATTATGCTGTTACAATAACAATTAATTTTTTTTTTAATAAATCTTAACCTTTTATTTTGAAACTACGTAAATTTAATGTACATTTGTAAGAAAGTCAAAACAACAAATGCATATTGTGTTTGTGAGAAGTAAATACTTATAATATTCATTAGATTTCTTCTATTCTAGTGAGTAAATGTTTTAACATTTAAATTTCTAAATTTACATAATATAATTGTAGATTATTTATGAAGCAACCTAAATAAATAAATCACAATAATAGCCTTAAAGGTTTTACAAATATCATTGCTTTTAAATTGAGTATTTATATTGTAGGAGATAAGAGGTATATTACTTCAAAAATTAACAATAAGAAGTGTATAAATTTTGGAGATGTGAGTAGTAATTTAAAATATTAATTTATTAACAATTAAAATCAATTTAACAAGAGATGTAACTTTGAAAAAGTGTAATTAATGTTTCTTGTGGGTCAATTCCGTTCTAGCAACGCGTCACGCGGAACGACGTCAATAGAAAATAGGTCGGAGTTTTTTGAGCTCGCTCTTTATGAATCGTTATTGTAAACGAATGCGCTTTGAAAGAAATTCTTAGGTTCTGTCATTTTATTTAATAATTCAAGACAAACGTATTATTTTATCGTTAAACTGCACTGCAACAAGTAAAAGAACGAACCGGGGATAGTGGGAGCCACGGCAGACATCGGTCAACAAAGTCATCAGTCCACGTTATTTTACTGCTAAAAATTATTCAATATTCAATTAAATTACCACACAAAAATCACCGATCAAGCATAAAAAAATAGAACTTATGTTTATCGTAATCCTTCAACACAACACAAACGCCATTTTTCATTTTAAGGTGACATGACATTGCCATCATAGATTGTTGTTGTTGTTTTTATTATTTGCTCGAGAGAGCTGGCAAAGGAACTAAGCCATACAGCCTTGTCTTTTTTATTTTGAATATATAAAATTTTAAAGTGTAAAGGCCGGAACCAAGTCTTATTTTTCTTCTTTCTATCTCTTCAAAATCCATAAAGGCCGAAGTCAAGTCTTTTCTTTAAGGTGACACTAGTCGACATTATTTCCATAGAAATTTCGGAGGGGTTTTACTCCGCTTTTTGACAGTGTACATCCAAAATTAAACATGATATCGTTTTGTGTCATTATTAAATTTGTCTGTACGGAAACAGAATTGTAAAATAAAATGTTATTAAAAAGTTACGAGCTACCAAAGATTCGTTTTTATTGCCAATTTTAACACAACTTTGGGCGTAAATTAGTAATAAAAGAAGTGTAAAATTTCCAAAACAAAGTCGGTACCGACACAGGTAAATTATCGAAGAACTCAATAAATTTTATTTGTAATTGATTAATGCAGTGGTTTTTTCATAAAACCCCTTCTTCCAAAGGCCTTTTCGTATTTTTTTACGCGCGCATGTTACTATGAATTATCGTGCATCTCACTGAATAATGTCTCCCCCGGTGCGGTGCGGGAGGACGATGCTTACACACACATGCACAGGCGGTGACGCGCGCTTATAAGTATTCGAGTTTTATTCGAAACGAAAAGTTTTGCTATTTTGTAATTTGAACGCCAAAGACAAAAGACGGCATGGAAATTGATATAATTGAAAGAGATGATGCGTTTTGCACGACAGACAATATTTTAAAATTTTCGTCTGTAATATAATATAATTATAAAAGTAAAAAAAGTAAAGTCTATATTCGATTACTATATAAAATTGCAACAATTTCATTGGTGCCGACGGGGATCGAACCCGGGTTGCTCGCGTAATGTGATACTGACAGCGAGCGCTAACCATCTGAGCTACCACGGCTCTCAATGCAAGTGTTATAAATAAATAAAGAATTACAAAACAGTTTAATTATTTATTAGACGACTTTTGCGGCGGATAAACAAAGTATATTATGTGGGATTTTCATAGGTACCTACTGTTATTACCTAGATACCTACAATCAACAATACAACAAAATGTCACAAAACCTCGCCGCGTCGTGGCCACAAAATTGTAAACTTTAGGTAGGTACGTCGGTACTAAGAAAACAATCTTGATGGGTCACTTGTCTTGATAAAAACCTGTGTTTACGTTTAGTGATATTGAGTATATATAAAAAAATAAGAAGCCAGGTAAGTAAGTATTTTTGAAAACAATTTATAGGTAGGCAGACCAATTACGATTATTATCTAAATATTATAAATGCGAAAGTTTGGATATTTGGATGGACGGATGAATGGATGTATGTTACTCAATCACGCCAGAACGGCTGAAGGGATCTGGATGATATTTTGCTAAGAGATAGGCTATAGTCCGGAATTTTTTTTTTCAAAAAAACATTACCCCACGCTAGGATTTTCTCCTGTATCGTGGAGGCAGTTTACAAACATCCAGACCCGGAACAATTATTTGTAGACCATACAAATACTTGTTCGATTGATTCGAACCCGCGGCTCCCAGTACAACAATTCATTGCTAAGCCACTGCGCCACGGAGCTGCCAAATATCATATATGATACCGTTTATTCAGGTATTTCGTTGCCGTGTGATAATTATCGAGTTACACACGTTCGAAGCCGAACTCTTGAGTGATTGCTGCATGACCACTCGGGGAAAACTAAACATAATAAAATAAGCAATCTATATTAGGTATATAGAGCCACAGACGTATACCTAATAATTTCATGGATTCACCCGCGTCATCACGTGTCCGAGATGCGTGGCATGACATGACACCTAGTTCAAGCATTTTATAATTGCAATCAAATATTTTATTTGATTGTAATGTATGTCTTCACTTTATTATTGTACTTTTATTTAAATAAATGATTATTATTATTATTATTATTATTATTATTAATGTATGGAAAAATTGTCATGATTAATGGAGTACCTACTTTTATTTTATCTGTCGGCATATTATGCGCGGTTTTTTCCAGTTTTAAAGAAAAACGTACACGATTCATGAAAAGTGTGTAGGCAAGAAATGATTCTTGATAAATTTGCTATCAACCTCTTATACTTATTAATTAATTAAATTTAAACTTTCAAAATACCATAGCAACGTGAAATGAAAGAGTTCAGAAATAAAGATGTAACTAATCATTGCTACGCTCACCCGGGAGATAGATAAAAGTACTCAATTAATTTTGAATTTATTTTAGCTACTAGCTGTACCCCGCGACTTCGTCCGCGTTTAGTTTAGGGCGTTAATATTGTTGCAAAGATACCTAATAATTTTTCTAAAATTTAAGCAGGCTAAGTTACTTCTTATACCATGAGCTATCTACTAGTGAAAGTCCCGCCCAAGTCGGTCCAGCCGTTTTGGAAATTAACCGCAACAAACAGACTGACAGACATACAAAAATGTTAAAAATTGTGTTAATGTTATAAGTACCGTATACAGTTTCATACGCAATTAGTAAAAAGCTGTTATTTTGACATTATAACAGACACTTCAATTTTATTTATTTGTGTATATATAGATAACGATTGAACTAACGGCTAACCTAACCTCGCTCATAGAAGCTTTCAATACTGGCTTCTCAGTTCGCACCGGGCTATATGCGTTGTTTGCGCGTCAAGCCAAGTAGGTATTGAATTATTTTAATTTTACATTATCTCTTAAACTATGTACTATATAAACATGGTATAAAGAACGAAGTTTATCTTCATAAAATTGTCTTGATAATGAAGTAACTTTGGTTCGTAAGGTGCCTAATAAATAAATTTTCATTTTTTTTGTCACAAAATGCCTAATTGTGGCTTATATATAAGAAATAGACATATGGTATCGCGGACTTTTTTTAGACGGAGTAAAGATCTATATTTTTCTAGAACATTGTATTTACGTATCCCGAACCATAACAGCGCTTTTTCTTCTGACTTCCTATATATAGCCTAATGCTGTATAGCCTATACTATTCAACATGAATCTGGCTATAATATCCAAAAAAAGATTTTTCAAATCGGACTGGTAGTTCCAGAGATTAGCACGTTTAAACAAACAAAAACCCTCTTCTGCTTTATTATATTAGTATAGATGTTGCATCGTGTTCGTGTAACTTCGTTTTTATTCTAACGGTTCGGAACACCGTACGAACAAGACATGCGTGAATACTAGTGTCGATATGCTCATCACTGATACTATCTCTGTCGGGCACGATGCCAGGTGAGACAGCGTGCTTTTTGGCCGCGCCCACCAGCGAGTTCGAGCCCGCGACTTGTGCCACCTTAATTCTTCATATTTTCAGAAACCCGTAAAGGCTAAAGCCAAGTCTTCTTTATTTTATATTATATTATTTGCAGGTTTCAATCCGTGTAGATTTGTCAATACAATATTTTCAAGAACAGGGATACCATATTTCATATTTCTTTTACAGTATTATGAATAAAATTGCAAAGTGCTAAATATGTCTTAGTATTCCTAAGAACATCTTGCAGGGCACGCGGGACGCTTTCTGAGTTTTCATAAACTTGCATAAGTTTTTCAATGAGTAGCAATCTTTCAATGGCGTACGCTGGGCAGTTAAATATTATATGTTCTGCAGTCTGATCTGCTTCTGTATTGCAGAAATTGCATGTTGCAGATGCTACTATTCTCATCCTGGAAAGATGAGCGTTCAGTCGATAGTGGCCAAATCTAAGTCTGCACATTATTGTATAAAATTTTCTGTTATGATATCTCTCGTTGCGAGAAAACCAAGGAATACTTAATTCTGAATTAATTGATGCATACCAACGACCTTTTCCTGCCTCTAAAACAGCATTCCATTGCATTTTCCATTCTTCTTTTAACTGTTTCTTTAAAATTGAATATAAATCTGTATGTGGTATTGCAACATCGGTTATCCTTTCAATATCAGCTGTAACTATACTTTTAGCTAAATGGTCTGCTCTTTCATTTCCTTGAACCCCAATATGTGACGGAGTCCATAAAAATTTTACTTCCAAATTATTTTCTTTCAATTTCCACCACAAACTTTTGATTTCATATATGATGAAAGACGTTTTAGCATCTAAAGCTCTTGCCTTCAGTGCCTTCAAGACACTCATGCTATCAGAGATCAGTAACCATTTATTAGATACATGTGGGTGTTCTTCTATATATTTAAGAGCAATTAAGACAGCATAACATTCTGCAGTGTATATGCTTGCTGATGCGGGAATGGAAAGGCCACATCCAGTTTTCAGATGAGGTATGTAAAATGCACAGGCTACTTTATTTTCAACTTTTGAACCATCTGTGTAAATTTGTCGATATTCATCATATGTAGATATAAGTTCATAAACCTCTTCTTTTCTTTACAATTTTTTATCAATATTTATGTGTATATCACTGAATTTACTTTCATAATTCCCCTTATAACAAGGCCAAGTATGTGTGCTTTTGTGAATATTATATTGTTCATCATATCGTATCACTTCATGAAAGTCATGAAGTATATATGGGGCTGAGTTAGATATAGAAGACATACTATTGTTACGCGCCACTATTAATGTCTTGTACATGGCAACACTAGTTACACTAGCGCCCCCTAGTGTCGAGTAAATGAAAGTATTGCGCGCCACTATTAATATCTTGTACATGGCAACACTAGTTACACTAGCGCCCTCTAGTGTCGAGTAGCAGAACTAGGAGAGTCGAGATCCTTCCAGAAATTTCGGAACCGATATGTACT